ATCTCTGGATATCAATGAAGTAGTTATGCCAGAAGTAGGAAGAGAACGCACGTCTGTTTGTTCTTTACCATTAGACTTTAATCCCACTGTATATAAAAAAGAAAAAACATGATATTTCATCCAGAAAAAATGCATTACATGGTCAAAATATGAGCCATTTTCCTTTTCTTTTTTACCTTATATTCCTTGTGGTCAGGAGGGTTTAAAGTTGAACTCTTAGGTAGTCACTCTAAAGACAGAAATCAAAGCAAGGTCTGTTGCTGGCCAACATTACTCGTCCAAGATCTCCACATGACATAACAGCTGATCCAAACTAATAACATTACATATCACATTTAATATACATCATTGATACTGTAAGAGGGCAGGGAGTTTCTGGAACTATCAGTTAATGTATCAGGAAATATCTTCTTTCAAGGACTTCTGCTTTCTGTATTTCCCAAACCCCTGTTGGGGAGGGGAATTAATCTTTCCCATCCCTACTGTACTCACCATAGAACTTCATTTTATCTATAGAATTTCAGTGAACAGTGAAGCAACTCAGCTTCATTCTCAAGAGATATATTATCCCCATAAACCTTTAATAAAAATGCTAGTCCTACAGTATGTTCTAGACTTTTGTATGCTTCATTCCACCTATAATTTTACCTATAAAATTGACTTTAATTCATAATGGAGGACTAGTTTGGCTGTTACAGATTCCCCTGTTGATCTGTATTGAGTATTTTATCAGTCTGCAGATTGGACCAATGTTTTCAATGTGCAAGTAGAAAAGCAGGTTACAGCTGGTTCTGAAACTAATTTTCAAATTTTTTTTTAAATAGACACAGCATGTATTTAGTATGTGTGGAAGCGTTGAGTAATACTGAGCTAACCCAAACAAGAAAAGGTGAATGTATACATACAAAGAGAATAATCTGAATTGCAGAGTTTCCTGTAAGAGTGTCTATTTTAGCTAAATTCTTTACCTATTCCCCAAAGAATTTCATCAGACATAAGAAGGGAAGCTTCAGAGTCAGGGATTTTCCTTGTCCCAAAAGCATGGTCATTACTCAGTGTGCTGTACATCAATACACACACAGAGAAAAGGGATTTTATTCAGTTCACGTTTGCACAAAGATGGGTGGTAGGTGGTATTTCCACAAAGCTAGCACACCAACGTCCTGTATCACCAGTTATTTATACCCAAACTTTTAATTATTCAGCTTTCTAACACATAGGCAGTGTTATTCACCTGTAGGATCGGTCCGAACATCCTCGCGCGCTTTGGAAATCACCACACATCCTCTGTCCCTTGTGCTTTTGAGGAGGTGGTATGACTGGGGGAGGTGGTGTATGAGTTGATGGTTGCAATCTCCCCCTGCCACCTTTACCTTTCCCCCAGTTACTGCAGATTTTTGTGACTTCATGCTTCTTTTGGCAGTTCCCCAGTTCTCAGTGCCTTTTGGGCAGGAAGCTTCCCTCTTATCAGTCTTTTCTGAGCTCTTTCTTAAAGGCCTAGTTATTAGCTTTTCACAGTTCATTGACAAAGCGAATCACTCCCATCTCATAGCTCCTTCTCACCACCAGATCATGTTTCACAAGGCCATGGTAATTCTTTTACTTTGCTGATTTGCTAATTGGAAAATTTCATTGCCTGTTGTATATCAGTTTGAATTCCATCCCTCATTTGTTTATATTTTTGTCTCAGTTTGGGGACAGCAAATTTCTCTCTTCTTCATTAGTACACTGAAGGAAATGGAAGCTTTGCATTGTACGGTGTAAAAAATTATCACAACTCTATTTTAAAATAAAGAAGGGCCTTGCAAATAAAGAAGAAAACCTCCATATAGCTCTATCATTAAGGAAGGCTGGTCAGCGTTGCTGAACTGCTGTTAGAATATGAAGCCATCAAAAAAGAAATAAAAGCAAGTATGGTGTCTTGAGATATATGCATGCAATAGGCTTTTAATCTAGTGAAGGAGAGAGAAAAAGAAGTTAATGAGTTGGGCCATTGGCTGAAAATCTTAAATAATATTTTACCTAAATCTCATTTCAGAGTGTCTCACAGGCTCATCAGTCTCTTGCTCAAAGTCTTTGTTACTTGGATTTCTATGGGCATCATGGGTAGGGACTCCATGGGAGTTAGGAACTCAGCTCATTGTTTTATGCCCTCATGTATTTCAGTGGGAGCCAGGCTTTTAACCTGCCTAAAAATCTCAGTCAGTCCTTTAGTTTCTGAATGTTTAGGTCCCTAAGTATTTTCCAGTGCCCTGCCTGATAACCGTATTCAGACAGCACAATTTCACTGGTGTCCATGTGTCTGGAAATTCATAGTCCTCTATTGCATGTGTTGCTTTGGTTCTGTGAATTGAGCCTTGGAGACCTTCAAACAAAACTCTCTGACTTCGGCATATTTAGGGTTGGATGCAGGCCACACACATAGAGCCCTAATGCTTGTGTTTCTTTTGAAAATGGAATTTTTTAAGTCCCTCGTAAGCACCGAGGTCACAGTAGCAAGCGGTGGTCCTGACCTGTGCGTGTTCCCTGATGGCCAAGGAACTGAGAAGTAGAACTAGGATGGAGGCACTCGAAAGGCTTGGAGGGGGTTTATGTATGTGCCTCACCACTCCTGATGTAATGCACAGCAGTATGGGAGAAATCTAGCAGGAATAAAAGCAGAGCTTGAAAAACGAAACATGAATGCTGAAAATGTAAGAGTGCTTATGATTATTTAAATAAGAACAAATTAAGGAGGAAGAATAAAGAGAGGCATTTGTCTGGAGTGCAGCAATGCTTGGAGACCTCTGCCATGAGAAAAGTGACATTGTGCTGAGCACGCTGTGGAGAATTAACAAAAGATTGCATCAGGAGGACTCGCACACCAAATGAGTAAATCAGTCAAATATGATCGTCTGCATTTTCCAGCTGATGCTGAGAAACAGAGAAAGATGAAGCACCTTGTCTGAGAATTGATTCCAGACCTGTCTGGGGCTCTGTGCACATCTCCACCTCTGAAAGCAGTGCCACGCTGGGACAAGAGAGCGTTGGCTGCCACCCAGGAGTGGGAGGTCACAGACTGGATGTCACGTTGTGCTGCCGGTGGGATGGATCCTCACTTCACCAGCCCACGGGCTGCAGTAGGGATGGTGAATCACTCTGTGGGTGCCTCTGTACTGACTGGTTGTAATGGACCCATGGCAGCACTCCCGCAGCAGCAGGCAGTGATGGGGTGATGCTCAAGGTTAAGGGTGCACCAGTTTTAATCTTTGAAATGACAGAAGTTGGGGTCAACATATTTATAAGACGCCAAGTTGTAAATGACCACTTGCAAATGTGCTTTGACTCCAAAGAAGATGAGGCTTTAGCACCTGATAATTGCTTTAAATGTTTATTGGAAGTCCCTTCTTTCTGATGAGGCCACCAACTGCTTACGTACACTGCTAGGGACTAGCTATTGCCATTGCCATAGGAGCTGGAAGCTTTGTAGACCACCTCTAATAGACTAAAGGTACAGAATAATGTGACAGATTCATCAGATATCTCCCCTCAGTTTTGTGCCCCGTGGTTATTTCCCTTTTGCACCTCAAGACACAGTGAAAGTCTTTCCTCAAATCCATCACCAGGTCAAGAAGGCAAAGCTGGATTCTTTGTTCACCTTCTGCGCTTCATCCACAGGATCCATATGTCATTCCTGGGATTAAACCCTGGCACCATTTGGAGTCAGTGAGAGTTTTGCCAATGATTTTCAGAGCAATGAGAGATTTCATCCTTTGTTCACCCTGTGCCGGCTGGGCTAACAATATTCAATTAGAAACCATTCTTTGTTCTAGTGCAGTCAAGAGGATTTTTGTGGTGATTTGGATGAGCATTGGATAAAGCTTATGGCTAAATCCAGTCTTTATGCAGAAATCCATGGATCCTACTCAATTGCTTTTCTCCCAGTGAAATTAGTGGGAGCAATATGAGAACAACTAAGGGAAGATTTAGTTCCTGTTTGTAACAATATGTTACCCCCTGATACTGGGCCTGGTTTGAAATGTTTATTGTTAAATCCCTGTATTTTTTTGTTATATCTCATTAAGAACATAATGCAGTCTTGGAAAGTACATTCTGAAAGGGTATTACAACAGGATTGGGATTACTGTTTGTGAGACACTTTTAACTAGGGGGAAATTTCAAATTCAATTTACAGTAATGTCAAAGCACAATTAATATATAGGCAATGATAAGGGGAACATGGAGAAGTACACATTGATAGCACTACATCAACAAATAAACTTTTGGTGCTAGTAATTAGGTACACAAGATTATTATATGTTTAATTGACTGAAGTGACAATTTGGAATTACATCTAGTCACATTTAATTGGATTTGGAATCTCTAGAGGAAAGGAAACAGAGAGCAGTGTGGAGAGGCAGCCATAAAACCAAACTGATTTTCTAAAGTCTGTTAAGACTGCATTAATATCCATTGCACAATAGTTTTTTTTAATATCTCTCAGTCTAGAAAGAGTAGTGCAATGATTGTCACAGACAGTGGGAGTACTAAAGCATACTCAATCATGTAGCAAGGTAGCTGATTACTTTTAGTTTGGAGATTTTTTTTTAATGTATAGTGTAATCAAAGGTGAACTATGTCTGAGTTTGCCACAGACAAATTATATTCTCAGACTGCCAAGCTTCAGGTACTTATATATTAGAAATTTCACCCAGAAATACTTCAAAGAAAAAAAAAAATAAAGCCAGACTAAAATATTGTGTAGCAGTCATTAAATATTTGCTTGGAGTAAAATATGGAAAAGCTATAAAAAGACTATGTAGGGTCATTTGGTTGCAGGTAGTTTAGATAGCTAAAAAATGTTTACTAATGCTTGTCTTTAAGTTGGACAAAGACTGAGAGTTATGGGTAATCTTTTGCTACAAAGCTCATGTTGCACTCTTTTAATATTACCTGCTTTAAATATTGCTATGTACATCCTTCTCTCCCTGTACACTCATTTATTCTGCTTTTGTCATCAGGAGTGCCATGATTGCTGACTATATGTACTGGCTGACAGGAGGCACTGAGCAGCATACAAGCAACCTCATCAAACTGTATTGGCAGGTAAAAATTGATAGCCCAACGAGGAAGGAGGTGCCTATCTCACTGTTAAGACCAAAATGAAGGATTACTGCTTAAAAGACTGCCGACAAAGGTAGCTCTTGGGCATATCAATCAACAGGACTCTGTACAGTACTACTGTATTTATAATGAAGTGGATTTTCTTGGACTAATTTTAAGGGCAAAATTCAAGGTTGTTAACCCTTGGCTCATACTTCAATTTTATGGACTGCTATAAAATTTAATTCTCGATACCCGATAGTCCCCTAAGCTACTTTTTTGTGAAGTCTTCCTACCTTCGTGACACTTCCCTTTTGCAATTTGCATGATACTAATGCTCTGACACCTTTCCAAACTCTTCAACCGGAAGGGAAGGAAAAAAATTACTGTAACGAATGGTCTCAGAGGAACCTAAAGTACTCTGTGAAGGATGGCTAGGTAAGACCCCAGTCTGCAAAGATTACTTATGTGGGGACTAGACCATTGACTTCAATGGGACTCATCTCTTGAGTGATCATCTGAGATGGCTGTTCAGCCACATCAGCATGAATTTAAGTTTAAGGGTACCCCTCTCTGCTCTGAGGAGAGCTCACACAAATTTGGAGGTGAATGGATGCTAGAGCCTTTGCAAGGAGAGGTTTATTGCTGCAGGAGCTTATCACTGCCAGCGGTGTCCCAGAGTGGACCTGGCTCTCAGGTCCTCCTTGTCCATACAAGGAATTTAATGACACTAGGAACAGTATATGTTCCCTGAGATAAAACTTCAGAATCCAATTCTGATCCCATTTTGGGGGGGGGGGAGGGAAGAGTTATTCTGTGAGAACATCTGTAACATCTGTAGTTTATGTGAAGTGATACAAAATATGTCTGACCTAGGCCAGAGCACTAAAGATCAGAATTTGGTCTTTTATCTTCACTCACATGGTAAATTCTTCCTTTTAATAACTATTATTTGTTGCATTCTTGTTGATAAAATGGAATAAATCTCAGTCCTGGGAGCTGCTGAATTTCAGTACTGCTGTGAGTGCAAAGTGCATCTCATTCAGAGAATTACCCACTGGGCTAGTGTTTGCAGTGTCTGTGAACTTTCTTATATGCTTTCCAGCAGAGAATTTCTTCCGTACAGAACAGTTTGATTTTTTTCCCCACTGGGTCAGACTCGTTTAAAATCTTGAGTTCACAAACACGTTTTGTGAAGGGGTCATTTCTTCAAATGGAATGTCTTTTCTTTTTCTCTCTTAACACTGATATCCATCGACTCCTCTTCTTGATGTCATGGACACGAAGCTTCAAAGAATAAACCTTTAAAGGAGGAGCTGTCATAGCTGTTCTCTCTCCCAGGGGTTCAGACTGTCCTCCTATGTAACAGGGCCAAAAAAGTGACATGAAGGACAAGATTCATCATGGTGCCTCCTCGTAGATTCTAAACCAGAAGCTGTGGTTGGGCTAAGGTGGGAATGAAACAGAGCAGAGTAGGGCTACTGAATCGCTCCCAGCCATTACCACCATCTTCTAGATAACAAGAGCCAGAGGATTTTGGTAGCAGTAGGACACTGGTTCATCTCTGCTACACTCCAGAACTCACAGCTCATTTCTCTTCCTGATGGAGACTTCATGCATAGAGCTCCCCAGACCTCCCCAGTACCAAGAGGCACCACCACACTGTTTGCACCCCATTCCCACTTCTCCTCTGCCTTCCTCCTGAACTTGAGTTGCTGTCATCTTTGTCTGCAGAAGCTTTAAAATGCCAGTAGAGATCTAACCATTTGTTCGATCCCCCACCGTGCTTCATTTTCACTGGGAGACAGCGATCGCTCTGCAGTTTTGTGCCTTTTGTGCATAGGCCTTGGCGTGGGCTAGGCAGAGGCTTCAGTGGTATCTAGTTGCTGACACACACGCTGTAGAGGCAGCTGGGTGCCCAGTACCACCCCCACTCAAGTTAATAGCTAGCACTTAAGAAATACTGCTCAGGAAGATATATCCCCAGCACCAGCAACAACCTTTTCCTTCCCAAGCGGCTGAGTTCTGTGCACTCACCATCAGGGGTGACTTCAGTGTCGTTAGAGCACACAGCCACAGTTAGGCGGGATGATGTAGCATGTGACACTGCACTGGGGCTTTCCCTGCAGAGACACCAAGGAGACGTAACAATCTTTTTTTTAATATTCTCTCTATTTCACGGCGTAAAGCTGAAAATAACTTGTCACGACTACATGCTCACGTGCCTTTGTAACCAAAGCAACAGCTATTGATGCACGCTTTTCTTGCTAACTACTCCTCTGCCTCAGAACTCGCTAGTGCTGGCTCACAACTGTGAGCCAAATTTTCTGAGGAGGAAGAGAATAGGTGGTGAACAGGACAGTTTGGTTTTTAACTTCTGTGAAGAAAGACTTTTACATTAAATATGTCACTCTTTGCTTTGTTCAGTGGGTCATGTATATAATCTTCTAGTGTGTCATTGACAACTTTTGTTTCTTCTTTTCATGATTCTTTTAAGTGCTGGAAAAGGCTTTTCCTCTTCACAGCCTGTCTTCTACCTCTTTCATGGCTTCAAAACGTTGTACAGACTGCTCGAATCCTTCAGCTGACGTCTTCACTGCAAAAAAATTCAGGCTCTTAATTCACATCTGCAAAGCTCTTTATTATTTATCCTACTTCTAAATCACTGTTTTCTCTCTCCTGATCTACTCCTCATGCTCCGAGCAGTCTTTATCTTGCATCTCTTTTCTTTTTTTTCCTCCTGATTATGGTTTTATATTTTCCTTTGAACTTTTTCTATCCCTGGCATCAACTGCCGGAAGTCATCTTTCTTCAAAACTCTTCCTAAAACCTCCTCAAATCACTCCCCTTCTCGTTATTCACTTTTGCATATTTCTTCTTCTTCTTCAGCAGTTATCTGTCCCATGTCACTGCGTACCTCCTCTTCAGGCACAGGGCAGGGTTTGTACTCTCAGATTTTTTAAGGTCAGGTGGGCTCCTATTGATGAATTATCTGACTTTCTGCATAAAACCAGCACAGAATTACAACCTGAGCTCCCTGCATTGATGCCAAAAAATGAAAGCAGAAACTGATTTTGAGGAATTTATTCAATCCACAATTAAACAGTTTAATAATAGAGTATTTACCATAACTCATCTAATAGATGTTTTGTTGCATGTCTGTCCCTTGTTTCTCTCCCAGTTTACAAACTGGGATTTTACTTGTCCAGTCCAAAGTTCCAGCATACATCTCTGAAAGCTTAAAGATCCTTTAGTACTTGTTATCTTCTCCCTGTATATGTACCTATGGATCATGATCAAGGCAACTTTAAATATTCTTTTTGATTAGCTTTTTGATTAGCTTTTTGATTAGCTTTCTTTGATTATCCCCTTTAAAGTAAATCATCTATTTCTGGATCTTCTGTACAGTCATATGTAATATCTAATGCCCTGGTGTTGGTTTTGAATATTAATATCCACCTTCCATTCCACTCTGAGATATAGATATAATGTTGATGAGAGGTGAAAAAATAATTTACAAAGGATAATATTATTCAGTACATTTTGGCCTCTTTCTCTGTTCAGATATATTATCCCATGGATTGAAAGATATACATTCCAAGTTAACATATAATCAAATGGATGTGCTTTTTTTCATAACCCACTACAGAATATGAACTGGATGATTTGTGTATTGGCTGTTAGGTTAAAAATAGGCAAGTAAACTAGAGTTCATCACAATAAACAATAATATGAAAGTTATTAAATGTATTACAGTAGATATCCTCAGAGTAGTAACAGCAAAATGAAGTTTAAACTTACTTATTACTAAAGTCAAGTAAGGTCCCTAATATTTATTGTCAGCAATGCAATTTCTCAGATGGTAATAGCAAAACAAACAATAGACAAGGTCTTTCATCCCATAGAAAGAATCCCTCTCCAAACTGTCCTTTTTTTTTACTTGCATCTCTGTAAACTATTTCCACTGGCTAAAAACTACGCAACATAAGCTAGATGTTCCATTCCATGAGTAAAAATATATCACACCAATACTACAATGTCAAAAATGCTCAACACTGTCAAATGCAAACTTTGCAAATACCTTGGAAGTCGCAGCCTGATTCACCAAACGCTGGCACAGGCATCTTAGTATAAAGTGTCTTTATTACCTAATTTACAAACATCTCAGGCTTGATTCATCCCACTACAAATTTTATTTGATTTATTATTCCATTGTGAAAAGCGCGTGACCTATTTTAGACTAAAGGTTCAGCTCTAGCATCCATAACACACCTATATCCTGCGTCAGTCCCATCTGGGCAAAGTCTTACACCTAGTGCCATTGCACCAGCAGCACATATGCTGCAGGAACTAACAGAACCCCAGGAAGTCTTTCAAAGCTTGTAGGTTCATATCTCTATGTTTCCATAACCATCTGTACTAAAAGCCTTAGTTCCATAACGTAGCCAATGTGTATTTTCTACAGCTCAAATGGAGACCTTTAATTTGTTCTGGAGTAGACTGGGTTTTGAGCTTTAGTATCAGTTCAACTCCAGTGTTTTGGCCAAGACTGCAGCCATCACAGAGCTGCTCTTAGCCCATGGAAAATGCTGGCTCTGTGACTGCTGCACACAGAGCTCGCGAACTTGTGTTTCGGAGGATATTTCTCTCAGCTAAACTCAACATCAAAGAGAAAGCCTCTAGTAGCACACGCGTTGGCTGACGTGGGGGTTTGGGTATTCAGACATTTGCTTTGCTCTTCCATTGCTATTATGAACATCAGGTGCTTCCATTTCAGAAATCTGGGCTGTTGCAAGCACAGAGCAATACACACATCGCACAATAAAGCAAACGATAACCCAGCCCTGCAAGGTGGCTGAACACCCACTGTGCAGCCATGAACACTGTCAGCTCCTTTAGAGCTCAGCTTTATCTCACACCTTGCGGGGTGACGATCCAAGGCAAGAAAGTTAAAAAGAAAAAGCTCTTGGTAGCCAAAACCTCTTCTGCAGTCTCAGCCAGTG